AATCATTATTATTTAATTATATAAAATTTTATATTAATATTTTTGAAAAAATACTGCAATTAAAAATCCATAATGTAAAGTCTATGGGAATTTTTGACTTATAACATCATCTATTGTGGCTAAACGCTTACAGATAGGTATAGGCAAGTGGGGGTCTAATCGGCCACAAATGTCCTTAGGATTCCAACGGACCCGGTCTCGACTCATTCTGAGGCTCACAGGTGGCGCTAGAGTCGCAAACACATGTATACCCGTTTTCCCGGAAATCGGGACCGACCGGGGTCGGGACTTCGGGAATTTTATCGGACCTCCAACTTGTACCCGGATACCATATATCAACTTTCTGGGTTATTCCAGTCGCCCACAATCATTGCCGGTATATCAAAATTAAACAGGTTTATATCTCAAAACTATGTTTTTAGGGTTTAGAGCTTCCAATTTTGTCTGTGTACTAGTTAGAGCAAAAAGTTTGGTATGTTATTTGTCAAGGTCATCGAGCTTAACAATAATGCTGGTGGGCCCACCTCGATCCCGTGACCCCAGGGGGCGCTACAGTAAAAACAAAGTTGAAATTTTTGTATAGTCGAAAATGAGTTATGGTGCCTATAGCTCTCCATTTGGCCGAACGCTGGCTAATTTCCGGTTTTCCGAAAATTCTATTTATACAAATGTGCCGTTTCCGGGTCAAAGAGTGGTCGAATCTTGATGCGGTTTTTTCTAACCCTAGTCCCGATGAATGGAGGTCATAATGCACTATACACCATAATTTTAGCATTTGCCGTTCAGGAGATATGAATTTATTCCATTTTTTGGCTTTCGGTCAATTATCTCGAAAGTTACATCATAGGATTTTTTCTTACTATTCCCTTCTTATTCTACTTTTTGGTCATACAAACGAATCCGTTGTCAAAACCCCGCAGGGCAAGAATGCCGCTCGGGGTCCATATGATTTCTAAGATACATATGTGTGTGCATATGCACACACATTTGGTGGCTTCGCCCCAAACCGCCTGGAATTACTCTGAACAAAACATATGTGTGTGCATATGCACACACATTTGGTGGCTTCGCCCCAAACCGCCTGGAATTACTCTGAACAAATAAATATTATCAAAACCTACAAAATTTTTACACTAATTAAAAATTTCAATATTTTTTTTTTATTAAAACTTTTAATTTAATAGTTTTCATTTGATTTTATAATAAATCATATATTTTTAAATAATTTAATAAAAAATTTTAATTAACTTAATTTTAATAAAAAGCAATTTTTACTACATTTAAAAACATAATGGATTTACAAATGAAGTATTTTTATAGTTTTAATTACTATCAAATTAAACGTGAAATTATTTTAATATAACACTAGATTAAAAGTGATTAAAATTAGGAAATGATCGCAATTTATAATTTGTTATAATTAATTAATTTTATGGCAAAACAGGTAAACAATCATATGTTTAATGTTTTATTAGTTTCTTTCAAATTATAAATACATAATTTTTTTAGTTTTAATAAAAAGCAATTTTCACTAATGTATAAGAAAATGAATTTTTACTACATTTCAAAAACATAACTGATTTACAAATACAGTGTTTTCATTAATTACTTTTAATTACTATCAATTAATTGGTGAAATTATTTTAATATAACACTCGATTAAAAATGCGATTATAATTAGATAATAATCACAATTTATAATTTGTTAAAATAAATCAATGGTTAATCTGGTATTTAATCATATGTTTAATGTTTTGTTAATTTTTCTGGAATTATACATTTATATAATATAAATACTGAATTTATAATTGAATTGAAGTAAAAGTTATTCAAAAATTTAGACAAATTTCATGAGGTATTCAAAACACATGTCTTTGATCTCTTGTTCGCCGTATTCTTTGGCCAATACTAACAGTTCCGTACAGTTCTGGTCATTCACTTCGGGTCTCATTCCGTATAAACACATGAGAAACGTGTGAAACGTGTCGTAAGAATAGGCGTTAATATTGATCTCATTTTCATTAATCATATTTTGTTCACATATTCTCCAAAACTCTTTGTTTCTAATCTTGAGAACAGTTTTGTGACAATAAATGGATTTATTTTCGACAATAAATCTTAAATCAGAATCCAATCGATTGTTAAACGCTTTCAACAAATGCTTTTGAAAACAACTGAAAAATTTAATTAAATTAACTAAAGAATAATTTATTAATTATCAATATTTACGCCATCATTGGATCCATACGATCGGTGTTTCGGTACTTCTGGTCAGCGATTCCCTCATTATCTCCACATTCAGAGTCTTTATAACTCAAACCTACCGTCGATTGCAATGTATTATCAGTTGTTTTGCTATTAAATAAAAAATTCATTATATTTTCAAAACAATTATAAACAGCAAAACAAAGACTTACGGATCAATTGGATCCGATATCGAGACAAGTGACTGGCCGTCAAATATAGACGAATCGGATTTATGGCACACTTTGTTAAAAAGTGGATCAAATTGTGACAAATCCAATGCCATTTGTGATCCGGTTTCTAACTGAATCTCTTCTTCGCCGTCATATTCTTCGGGTTCCGATACATAGATCTCTTCGTCGGCAAAGTTTTCATTATTAAAACCGCTTTCAAAATCATTATAAGAATCAGAAGCAACGGATCCGGTAGTGTTCGGATCTATCGGTGGTATTGAGTCTACAATCGATGTGAACGTGACGTCAAAAGCACAGTATTTGGCGTAAACATCAAACAGCGAACAACCCATCGGTATATCAATGGGAACACAAGAGGGATAACCCTTATTATCTGTTCCCATAATGAAGTGCTGGCCATCCATTGCGGTCGCTATAACCACACGATTACTATAAGTGGTGTCAATGCGTTTGAACCTGGCTTTGGGGCTAACCCTCACAGCGTTAAATAAGTAGCCATTCTTGACATCGGGTTTCCATTTAGCAAAACCAATCACACGGACCATACCATTGGCGGTCATTAGTATCGTATGGTTGGGCCCGCAGATCATGGTTTGACAGTCGCGGACCCAATTGTATTGCTTTATGGGTTGCGGACAACAGTATTGTTGACCGTCCAATGGGATCACGAGTGGACCCAATTGTTTGCGCTCATTATTGCCCCAGACATACACCGTTCCCAAACAGGACAGCGCCGCCGAGTGCTTCCGACCGCAACTAATGGTCACAAACTTGGCTTTGATGGTCAGTTTGGTTGGCGTACAAACAATGTCACCGCTTTCGTGACCGCATTGGCGCCGATCGTTGGCCCCAAAGCTATACACAATTCCATCTGAGGTCAGCGCCAGTGAGTGATTATCACCGCATGAGATGTCTTGAATTGGTTTGATTCTTAATTTGAGGGAAAGTATTTTGATTGGTTGAGGGGTTGACATGTCTTCAACGGATCCGATGCCGAGCTGTCCGCACGAGTTCTGTCCCCATCCATAGCACTGTCCGCCACTCGTGAGTCCCAAACAGTGTCCCAAACCATAGCATATCTTCATTATCTTCTTTCCGGTGAGAGTGGCGTTCAGTTGCGGTCTTTCGATGGCATCACTCACTCCGAGTCCGAGTCGTCCAAAACAATTGCTCCCAAAGCCGAAGACCCGGTCATCGGTGGTCACAACAATCACTTCTTCGCCATCTTTACCAAAAATAGCCAATACTTTGATCCCGACTTTGTTGACCACCGGTTGTGGACACAAATCGGGAAACTTTCGGTAAATATCGAAACTATCCATTCATTCAATGATTTATTTGTTTTTGTTTTCAAAACACTATTCAATGCTTTCATTGAATGCAATATCAGTTACGTTTCGCTCATCACTCATAACCCCTTTCAACACAACAATCGCTTCACTGCTTAACACACTATTAGTTTAATTAATAGATTTAACAGTAGTTTAGTTTGAAAATGAAATTTTATTTATTAATTTTAATATAATTAATATTCCGATTATATTAGTTACATATGTTTATATTTAATTCAATTACTGTTAATTAATTTACTTTATAAATCACGTCAATTACAGGCACATTATATAAATGCAAAACAATTGATTAAATTAAAAATTTAATTAAATATAAACCTAATGATTAAAATGTGATTACAATTAGAGATAATAATCACAAACATGTGATTGATTTCATTCAGAGATCGCTTGAATCAAACGTCTGGACAACTGTTTGGGCATTGAGTGAAAGGCATCCGATTTGCAGACATCTATCAAATAAGTGGACACAAAATCAATGCACTTCTTCTCCAACTCAACGGATCCATCATTTATGGCCTTTTCATACAAATGGCAAACATTTGTCAAATCAATTGGCATTTCGCGGCTCAACGCGTGTCCGCACATCGCCTTCAGAACCGACTCGTCATAAATTGTGGCCAAATGTGAGACTTCGGCCGCAATGTCATCATTGATGTCGGGCTTCAGTCCGTACAAGAACTGGAGGAATGCGCGGAACGCCTCATATGTATAGCTTTTAACCGAAATATCGTATTTCTTGGATCTCTTGATTCTCAGCATTTTTTTCGTACAAATTTCCCAAAAAGTTTTGTTCCGATATTTAATAATAGATTTTTGGCAATAAATGGATTTATCGGTGAATTGAAACTCCAAATCATAATCCAATGGATTGTCAAAACCAATTGACAAACACTTCTGAAACTCATTCATAGCCATCAAGTCTTCGTTGATATTCATATCACCACTCGTTGTCTTCGCGTGTATTCCCGAATCGTTTGCCACACTTTCCCGACCCTCGAGTCCATTGACATTCGGAGCACTACTGGCCGTACTCTCGATGTCATCGTCTTCGCCATTGCTTAGCATTTGGTCCTTCGGAGTGATGTTTAAATTGCCATTTGATGTCCGCACAGATATTCCCGAATCATTCGGCAGACAAACACTTTCGCGACTCTCGACTCGATTGATATTCGAGTCACTACTAGTGGTACTCTCAATGTCATAGTCTTCGGGAGTGTCAATGGGATCGACTGTCTTGACATCACTGGTGATCGGTTCGGGTTTAAAGACAATAGTCTCGAATGTGATCTCAATTTTTGAATAAATGGCAAAAATATCGCAAACGGTATACTTATCGGGCGTTTCGCGGATCAGTTCCGGTCGATAGAAAAA